CAACTTTACTTTGAATTCGATTTCATAATAACAATTTCCAATGTTTAATTTTTAAAAATAATATAGAACTCAAATGCATAAACATGAAGGTGTCGGGGACGGTTACTCGGGTTATATCGAATTTCTCTACAGATTTTGCTTTTTACTCCAAATTGAATTGACTAAATTGCTTCATAAGAATAAGTTCTTTGAGTATAAGCATTGGATCATAATCCCTTCTATTCGCGGAGATATTTGGCCTGACTAGAATTGCCGGTTCGGCTTTAACTTATAACTCGAGTAAAGACGAAACACCTTCGTATTTACGTATTTTTATCAATTATTGTTCGTTGAATGGGAGTTGGTTTGTTCCCATTGAAAAGTCAATTAATTTCCGATCAATGACAATGATTACATGTTTTAATTTTCCTTTTACAATTGAAATTTTATTCTTCATGATGATTTAACTCTAGTCCCCGTTATTAACACATTAACATTTTGCTTTCAAATTACTTCAAAACATCTTTCGAAATATAACTTACCAGTATGGATTCACTCTTTTAAAATAATTCTACTTTAATTAAACATAGGAGATAATATAATCAATTAATCAATATTGTTTAGGAAATAAATTATATATATATATAATCGTTTATTGCAATGCATGGTCGGAAACGCTTTCCTGGCGCCATAGTGACGAGAGACAACACAAGAAAAATAGGGTACGAACAGTGTAAAGATATTTCTTTATTATTCTTAGCGCAGCGGAAACTAAGAAATAAGAACAAAAACATTGGATCGTCATCAAAGAAAGTATTCGAAAGTTCCTTAGGAAAGTATCCTAAACATGGGTTTGGTAGGGGTAGTCCAGTGCATTGTTCAGCAAGATCACGAGACTTCACTTGCATTATCACTTCCGCTCGGGGTACGTCAACACATTAGTGCACGAAATCCCTGTTAGAAGTCCAACAGGAACTTGTGGCACATATCGTGGCAGCTGCTGGGAAAGTCCTCAGGATGCACAGTATTTTCCAGAACATCTTATGGTCGATGTGCGAGAGATGTGATACCTGCATCAGGGCGCAGGTCGTAATTTCGAACACCTTCTTTGAGGTCCATAAGTGTCTAATTTTGTTCCTATTTTTTAATTTCTCTTGTGCTAAGCATAATTGGTGTCCGTTCTTTCTTGTGTTTTGTGTTGTTTGTAGCGGCCAGGAAAGTTGTTCGGCCCTGTTTTGCCATTTCATTTTTCCTCGATGTCGTCTCTCTCATATATGTGCATAATTACTTATGACTCAAGTGTTGCTACTATATGATGAAATTTACAAACACGGTGTTTTACAATGCTACATATTCCCATCCGAAAATATCTTTTTTTTTTCCTCTTGCCCTTCAAATAAGAAATGTGTGTCCTTCATTAAAAAAATCTCCTGGAACTTTAATTCTTCTTTTTTTAAAGACTATGGAGAAAATATTTCAGTATAGGCAGCTGTCAATATTCAAACATTACATTTTAAAAACCATTAAAGTGATTGTCGGCCATTAGCCGAAACGCTCCGAAAGGCTTAATTCGCATAAGGATTTAGGAAATACATTCTGAAAAACTTAGCAAATTTTCCTTCAATAAATTTAATGGAACAGGCAAAAGAAATTACAGGGAACAATAAATATAGGAGAAAACAGATATTTCTTTTCCTAATTTGTTTTACTGTGTTTGATTTCTTTCTTTCTTCCTGTATAAATGATTAAAACTTAAAGAATGTAACTGAAGAATGAGAATAAAATTTTCAATTGAATACAAATGGTGGCAAGACTCCTAGTGCTGCTCTGCTGGACCACGAAATAGACCAGCAAAATGTTCTGAATTTGGAATAACGAGAGAAAATTTGAAACCTGTGCAGCCAGCGATGCAAAGAGATTGTTCTGAGAGAAAGATGACTTAAATGATGAAACTCGGAGATAATTTAATGATGTGTAAGGTTACCTCTACTGGGATAATAATAAGAAAAGGTTAAAATACAAAATACGTAAGTAAATTATACAAAAATTGAAGAAATTTAAAATATCTGGCATGCGTAAGAAATAGTAATTGATTCAAAAAATAAATGAATCTAAAGCTCTCAAACTTATACTCGTTTAAATACAGGTTTTTGCTGATTCAGAAAGAACGTTACGTGTATATCTTCTAAAATGCTTTTTCCATCCTTTGTTTGTAGTTGTTTCATTTTTCATTTCAGTTTCATTTTTTCCTCCTATTTTGCAATTTTCGCCATTGTTTCCCTCTGTTTTTAAGCCACCTGTTTATTATTACTATTATTATTATTACAACTTATGTAAAAATTAAGTAAGGAAAAGTAAGGCACTGAAACTTTGCAAATTATCACGCTCTACGTGAGATTCATGGTGGTCGCTTATTGCATACAAATCACGCCAAATTCTTTAACTTCTTTGCTTGGCTTTAGGTCCTTATAACGAAAACAACAAATTCGCCCTTTGTAGAAAAACATTCTGTCAAACAATAAACCTACGGGGAGATTTTTCTCTATGAAACTGAGCCCAAAGTGTTATATAGTATCTAAATATGGAAGTGTTGTACATGTTAAACGTGATCGTCGTTGCATTACTTTCACTTTTTTACTACTGAAATAAAGATATACTGATTATTTTGTAGATTGGAAAACCCTCCTTGTGATCATGAAAAGGAGCAAAAACTGGAAAACGAGAAAGAACTAGAAAAGAAGCGAGAACCGGAAAAGATGCAAGAACTGGAAAAGAAACAAGAACTGAATAAAAAGGAAGAACAGGAAAAGAAGGAGAAACTGGAAAAGAAGCAAGAACTGAAAAACAAGAAAAAACTGGAATTGACACAAAAACTAGAAAAGAAGCAAGAACTGAAAAAGAAGCAAAAGCTGGAAAAGATACAAAAACTAGAAAAGAAGCAAGAACCGGAGAAGATACAAGAACTGGAAAAGAAGCAAGAACTGAAAAAAGGCAAGAGCAGGAAACGAAGCAAAACTGGAAAAGAAGCAAAAACTGGAAAAGAAAGGAAGAACTGAAAAACAAACAAAAACTGGAAAAGCAACAGAAACTAGAAAAGAAGCAAGAACTGAAAAAGAAGCAAACACTGGAATGGATTCAAAAACTAGAAAAGAAAGAAGAACTGAAAAACAAGAAAAAACTGGAAGGAGATACAAAAACTAGAAAAGAAAGAAGAACTGAAAATGGAGAAACAACTGGAAGAGATACAAAAACAAGTAAACAAAGAAGAACTGAAAAGGCAGAAGAAACTGGAAAAAATGCAAAAACTAAAAAACAAAGAAGAACTGAAAAAAGAAGAAACTGGAAAAAATGCAAAAAATAAAAAACAAAGAACTGAAAATGAAGAAGAAACTGGAAAAAATGCAAAAAATGGAAAAGAAGCAAGAGCCGGAAAAGATGCCAGAACTGGAAAATATAGACGAGTCAGAAAAGACGCAATACCTGGAAAAGAAGCAAAAAACGGAAAAGAATCCAAATCTGAAAAACAAGCTGGAACCGAAAAAGAACTGTCAAACCCGAAAAGGAAACCGGATGAACACCGAAAAGAGCCAGAACTGGATAACGACTGTAGAACGATTGATTTAATGACCAAACGAAGCAAGATCCGGAAAAGAAAAATAGAACAAATAAATCATATACCACTGCAAATAATACCACTGCAAGCATTAAATATCAACGTCAAAAAAATAAACACCCTTCTTCAAGGAAGCCTTGCAATACACTGTCATAACCTAGAAGGTATAGGAAAAATCAGCTATAACCTCATTGCCAAAACAGTTGTAAAAGATATAGTTAACGTAAAATTTCCTGAAGCCAGAATACCAAAATGTACAATTCATAATATTCCAAAAACATTTCAACTCTGACGCCTTGATTCAAATTATAGCCCAAGAAACATAATCAAATATTTCCCACCTAAGGCCTTTATTTAAACTGAATTATCAAAATAATACTGATAAATGGATCATAAAATGTCACGGTCAAACTTTCCAAAATTTTATGAGTAAAAAACAAATATATATTGGATGGCGCACCAATAAAATAACCGAGTTTATCGGTGTACGCAGATGTCAAGTCTGTCAGGATTTCTCTCATAAGACAAACAAACCAAAATGCTCATTCTACGGCGGAAAATATCATGTTTCTTGCTGTTATTCCCAAACTCCGTACTGCATAAACTGTTGGATTAACAATGAAAAGTATGAAACAAAATTTGACTGTAAACATCCAGCTTTAGCTATTTCCTGGTCCACATATCAAACAGAAGTTAGACGAGTAAAATCCAATACATATTATCAACAATAATGCAAGATCCTGCAGACTATCTATAGACCCTTTCCATCAATAAAAAGAATAACAATGGCATCCGCTTTCTCAAAATAAATCTTCAAAGAGAGCAAAGACCGCCACCGACCAACTATGTCAGTATCAAGTAGATTATCTGGCAGATTTTATTATAAAACAAGAACATTATTGCATCACTGGCAAATTAGGAAGAAGTCCAAATAACTGGGCAATTATTCAACGTCATGCTTCAACGGGTGTTTTATCTCCTCGTACAGCCATATTCATTCCAAACAATAAATGGAATTCTACAATAATTATTAATACTCGAGATATAATCACAATTTCAATCAATACTAATGCATCTCAGCTTCTTATTACTAGTATCTATATATCTCCGTCAAAAATCCAAATCAAACCTTATCCATACTAAATGAAATCTTACAACAATAATAATAGTCCGCATGTTATTAGTGGAGACTTTAACTCGCAAAGTACTTAATGGGGATACTTACAAACCGATCACAGAGGAGGAATACTTGAAGAATTTTTAAATGCAAACAATCTCATTCTACATAATCATTTTACTGACCGACCTACCTTTGATAATACCTACAATAAATATTGGACTGATCTTCTTATTTCTACAACACATCTTGATAATAAAATTAACAACAGATCAATACTAGATGAAACATACCGAATCTGATAACAAATATATCTCTTTTGATATAACTGAATATACGTCCTTTACTGCACTTACCAGATTTAAAATCAATAATAACAAACAAAGAAAAGAAATTTCAACAAAAGTTCAATCCAATTTCAAATGACTTTCTAAATTGCTATTATTCTGTGTACAACCAAAACAGAACTTAATAATATTACCAAGGAACTTATCAGAAAGTTTCAAGATACCTAACGAACGTACCTTCTTCAAAAGATCATCAATACCCATTATAAAAATCAACTGGTGACGAAAGAACTCCGCTAAGTCAAACACAAAACACGAGCATTACGAAGAAAACTCAAATCATCGCAAACTGATGAAGAACGACTCAACCTACTTCAAAAATACAAAAAACGAAAAGCCTCATATAAAAAGCAAATAATATCTGCAAACTTTAAGCATGGTGCAACTATTGTTCAAACAACCAGGTATACGTATGGCTCATTGTACAAAATTGAAACCAACAAAATCTTCCACCCAACGCAACTTACAGTCACTAATACGGGAAATAATGATAAAAATGTTACGAAGATCACTTTAGAAAACATTCCTAGATGTTATTCTACCAAACGAAAGCATATATGATGATTTCAACTGAACAAAGATTAATTCGTTTTAATCTACTTCCAACGAAAATGATATCCCATTTACATCCATGGAACTCAATCGAATTATTAAAAAACTCAATAACAAAAATGCTCCTGGACCAGATAGAATCTGCTATCAAATTATACATAAAAGTAATCCTAAGCTAATTCTAATCTGCAATAAATGTCTCCAACTTGGTATTTTTCAAGACTGCTATAAAACAAGACAAACATACTCTTCCTCAAAAAGAACAAAGCTCATGAAAATCCTAATTCCTATCGGCCAATTAACCTTCTACCCCAAAGAAGTAATTTTTTCAAAATAAAAACTCAAAAAAAACCTAAAAAGAGTATCATATAAATTTTAATTTGCTTGAAATTCTGATTCTATGATGAAATTCCTTTATTAACTGTTATCAGCAACTGTTGTATGTAACATATCCAGTATGTAAAAGGAGAATTTCTAAACAGTGCAAGAATACATTTAATCCGCTAAACTGCATCTAGTCTTAAACGATTCGCAAACGGTTTTCCAATAAGCTAAGTAAGAAATATATGAAAGGCTGTTTGGCATGAAAGTGTTTCTGGAGAAAATATTTCAGTTTTACACTGGTATTTTTTGATTTATAAGTCTGATACCCGAATGATATGTGTGATACCCGAATAATATGTGTTTAATCGGGAATAAATATTTTTTAGAGCCACAGCGCAGTTAGAGAGGGGTCCTGCAAAGATCAACATTAGTATTATACGTATAGATGCTCTTGGAAAAATTAGTAACCTTCCAGGGATGATATTTTCTCATAGTTTGTTAGCAAGGGGTAAATAATAGCTTGTTAAATTCATTTTTGAGTTTAGGCTACTAAGTCTAAATTTTATTTTTTCGTTTATTAAGATATGTTTAATTGTTGCATTCCGTTTATTTTATTTATCAATTGTTGCATATCAGTTAATTTATTTTCATTTCTCTACTAAGCTCTATCATGAATGAATAAGTTTATTTAACAGTTAACTTTGCAAGTTTTTAATTTTCTACTTTCGTTTTTTAAACTTTTTATAGCAACTTAGTATATTATTTCACTAAAACTTTTTCAGATAGATTTGATAAAATCTGTTGAAGTGTTTAGAATGGAGATAAATGCTAAATAAGTCTCCGACTTCAATAAGATTATCATTTACTTTTTCAATTTCATTTTTAATTTTTCATATCGAACTTCACAAAGAGAAAATCAGTCCTTGTTCTTTTCTAATTTCACGGTGGCTTATGTTTTCAACACCAGTTCAACTTTATCAAAAACTAGATGATGCCTCAATAAATGGATGTGATCGTAGCGACACTATATCAATGCTATTCCTTTGTATGAAATTACCAGTGTTATAGATATTAATAAACCAGATTTTATGCCGCTATTTACATCAACATCCACATGTTTCATATTTTATTACAAATACATAATTTTTTCTTGCAATTAATAAAAAAATTTACCTTAGTATACAGTTGTATTGTTTTTATTTCTGTGGTTGTATACTTTTATAAGTATTTTGCTTCAGCTCACGCCAAACCCAATACGGCAATTTGCGTAAAGTGTTTATATACATCTGTTGGTTGATACCCAAAACGCAAACCTGAAGATGTCAATACAGAGGATTTCTGGAAACAAGCATTCATATGAAAACGCACTGGTTTTTAATGCAAAATAACGAATCTTCCACTGTGTGTATAAAAAAAAATATTTCCCGCTTATTGCATACCAGTTTTTCTAGTGCAGTTATAAAGAATACAAATTTAGATGTTTTTCGTACCATAAAACTTGAATTTCTTTTTTTTATATATTATTTTAATGAAACTGCATTGCCTTTCACAGGCAAAGCGGTGGTATCGTAATAGATAGCGCTTCAGCTAGAATATTTTTATCATTGTTAACATATTTACGAACCCACATTGGAAATTTGAGACTTTGCGATTCTGTATTTGGTGTAAAGTGTGCGAATTTATGAGAAACTTCCAAAATTCTTATGTAAGGAAAATTTTTCGAAAATTACGGATAAACTAGACTCGTTTCATCAACTAAAAATAAAATTAGTAATTTGAACATATTATTGCGAAAAGTGTTTTTCCGAAAGACATTGCACTAAGCTGCAGTTTTCATTTGTTACACGGAGAACTAACAGGCTAATGAGTACTTAATGCAGTTAACCAGCTGTTCTGTCGAAGGCGAGAAGAAAGATACTAACTGCTGTAACTGCAGCTTAACTTTGAAGTCTCATTCCGCCGTTTTGACTCCGTGCTTGTTCTTCCTTGCTTATTGACGGAGAAAAATTAAACTGCATAGATTTGAGATGATGGAATGTAAATAAAGCTAAATAAAATTACCTAAAACAGGGAGACTGGATTAATTGTGAATGCTTCCTTGAGAGATGTGCTGCAAATGGCCTATGTCCGTATTTTTAACATCTTCATTAACAGTGAATTTACAGATGAAACTATTATTAAATTTCCTGAAGAATGTTGTACTGTTTCCCAATTCAGAATCACGGTGCAGTTAGCCATTGCAGAATTTGACAAGGGTGAGAGCTTAATTTTTGATACAAAATTTAAATTGGCAGAGGGAGCAGTCATTGCGTAGAATATTGATATAGTTTTTTTCCGGAAAGGAAGTTTCTTAGAAAGTGAACAAAGTAAGTACTATTACATTTTTGAGTCTCCTCCGGTCGTTATAACAAATGCTGCGGTTTTAAAGCATTAGTTTTTATTCTTTAAAATTCAATTAAAACTATCAGTGAAATTCATTTAATATCCTTTGGGATTCTGGTTAAAGCGAACAAGAAAAGCTATCTTTATACTAGATGCAATGGTGAATAGGGAAAATTTTCACAGAAGCAGATATTTAGAAATAAACCGTTTAGGAATGAGATTATTCAGGAAAATAAAGGATTATTACTCCAATGAACTAGTATAACTTCAGCTGAAGATTCCAAGATCTGAAGCAGAGAGTTAATTTAAAATCAAAACCCGTAACTAGATACGACAGCAAAATTAGTTTTCAGGCATCTGCATATCTTCGCATTTCAGAAAAATTGAAACTGTAAAAATGCACGTGCATCACATGTATGCGTACAGGTAACACCTTCTTCATGTAAAGTTATATTTATTTATTCGTTTAAAATATAAAATTTTATTTTAAATATGGTGATAACCTATAAATTAAACAAAAAAAAATTTTAACTATAATTTTGATTAAGGAACACTTGTGCAACTAACAAAGCACTTTGAACTAGGTATTAAGCAATTTAATTTTAACGATTACCCCCCCCCCAAAATATTTACAATTAATTCTTTTTCAAATTAAAAAAAATCTGCATATATAACTCATCGGCTCCAAAGCGTGTGGTTAAGGCAAGACGGAATTCACAAAATAAAAAATAGCAACAGTAAAAAAATTTATGAAAGAAAAACAGAAATTGATAAAATGCATAAGGATAAACAACGTGTTAACGATTTTGAAGCGGACAGACACTGAAGTTTCAATGATCTGACAGGAATTCTGTGATGTTTATCTTCTGGCCTGAAGCTTTTACATGACTGTAAATTTTCTTTTCATGATCTGAATATTAAACTATGAATGCATTTAGCGGTAAAGCTTTCTATTATAATACCAGCACATACCTTCAGTGCAATGTAAATTTTACTGAGAAGAATAAAATATTTAAGAAGCTAATAAAGCTTACAACTACAGCCTTTAATAACCCTAATTATTCATAGTTTAGTGCTTCAAATACACACTTCAGGTGGTAATTATTTAAAATATTAAAATTTAACAGTTAAGGATTACTAAATACTGTACAGGTTCATGACATCTTATACAGACTTTCAGCTTGCTATTACACTTTTTATCTACTTAAATCATACAAACATCCCTTTCGAAAAGTATCTGCTTTCAAAATGATATCTCCTAAGCTAAGAGGAAATGATGTTCACATTTTGGTATCAAAATTATATATCCTAAGCTATTAGTAATGCTCGATGGTTGTAGCAATGATCGGTAAACATCACACCAATACACATACGATATGACACACGAAATACCACGTCCTCATAGCATACATATTTAGCCTTTAATTAAAGTACGGAGAGATAGACATCACTGATAATTACTCATATATTCCAAAGATGGTTCGGTTTGTGTTATTATGGCAAAGCAAGAGATGGTTATCAGACTAAGAAGAAACATGCCTTCTTGGAGGTTATTGTAAGGGCAACTGGCTCTTAGTTACATTTCAGAAGGGGAAAATCACGAAAACGCTATTGCAGCTACTCCTTCCCTAACTTCTGATATTTTTTCGCTTTTCGATATATCTAATCACCTCCGA